TCAAACTTCAGTTTTCACTCAGATGCCGTGACACCCTTTCCAGAGAGGTGTTTTCTCACCCATCAATAAATCAAGTCACCCCACAGCCCCATTATTTTCTCTCATAGCCTTGACTCCATCCGTCATAATTTTCACAGTGGCTACAAAACAAAGGCTAAGTTCTGCTCTATCCCTTTCCAAAACTCAGCACCTAATGAGGAAGTTGGACTATAGCAGATGCACAGGGAAAAATAATAGTAAAAGCAAAATTTATAGAGTGCTCACCATGTGACAGTTTTTTTTTTAAATTTTTTTTTTATGTTTTATTTATTTCTAGGAGAGAGAGAGAGAGACAGCATGAGCAGGGGAGGGTCAGAGAGAGAGGGAGTCACAGACTGAAACAGGCTCCAGGCTCTGAGCTGGCAGTCAGCACAGAGCCCGACGCGGGGCTCGAACCCGCAAACCGCGAGATCATGACCTAAGCGAAAGTCGGACGCTTAACCGACTAAGCCACCCTGGCGCCCCACCATGTGACAGTTTTAATCATCTCACCTGTGTGAACGTATTAACTCCTCCTAGCAACTTTACGAAATAGGTACATTATCACGCTCTATTTTATAGACCACTAAACTGAAAGCACTTAAGCCACATGCCAAAGGCTTCACACTTTGTCTGTGGTAGAACTGGGATTTGCTTCTAGTCACTGTGGCTAAAAAGTCTCTGCTTTGTCAAATGAGTGCATTAATTAATAAGCGAAAGAACCAGTGATCTTAGGTGTGTCTGTCTCAAGGTTATATTCCTAACCTTTTGCACACCACTCGCTCTGTTTTCTGATGTTCATGGGAATGTTCTTGACCATTCATTTCTCCTTATTTGTTTTGCTCATGTGCATTGGTTTTCTTCTGAGTGCATAACTGAAGCATTTCATTACCATTACTTCAAATCATCCTTTTCCTTTCTATTCATTTTTCAAAAAGCAGGTGCTTTAGGCCTTTTGGCTACGTGTTAATAAAAATAATCCCTTTCTCCCAGCAAAGAGTCCTGGGGCAGTAGTGTTTTGATTTTTGAGGTTGTCAGTTGACTTTAGAAGTAGAGAAAGATAAAGCTGCTTAGGTGGCTCAGTTGGTTAAGTGTCTGACTTTGGTTCAGGTCATGATCTCACAGTTCATGGGTTCAAGCCCCGCATTGGGCTCTGTACAGACAGCTCAGAGCCTGGAGCCTGCTTCAGATTCTGTGTCTCCCTCTCTCTCTGCTCTACCTTCCTCCTACCCCCTGCCTCTGTCTCTCTCAAAAATAAATAAACATTAAAATTTTTAAAAAAAGAAGTAGAGAAAGATAAATCAGTGTGGCTCATATTCAGCTACCGGCTTCAGTGAGTTATTACTTGATTTAATCCAAGCTGGATTAAAAAGGAGGAGACCCTCCAGAAAATGCTGGAGCATTATCTCATTTTGAGTCAATGGAATGCATTTCTTATTTATTAACTTGGGACTTTCTGCTCATAGTCTATACCTGAACATGAAGGCACGTAAGAGAAAGGCAGGAAGAGAGAACTGAAATAATCAAGAAGAAATAAAAGAGCTTGTATAGCACTCCTGCAAAGGCTCATCTTTAAATTTAGTGGCAGAAACACAAGGCAGTGGCATTTAAAGAGGTATTAACTGACGTGGAATAATATGATCCACGGCTTAACTAAGAACTTGGCCACAGGGAAGCCATACACATATGTGGTTGCAGTATAGCTATGATTTGAATTGTTCTGCTCTGAAGGCTTAAATGGTTTTAAAGAGAAACTGTGGTTGGTTTCCATCAGCTTACAGCATGGAGACAATTGCTTCTTTAAGAGACATATCTAAATAAAATGCCAAGATGATACATGCTTTTAAAGGAATGTTTGTAGAATGTTCAACACAGCTACACCTCTTTCTGGCACAGCTCAATAGCAGTTCTCAATTTTCTTGGAAGGGAAATATGCATTATGCAAAGAAACTATGGAAATGACAAGTTCAGTTGCCAAATTGAAGCAATGTTTTTAGTTAGGGCTTAAGTGTATTAATGTAGATTTTTAGTGCTAGATTACTTTTCTCGTTAGTTCAGTGAGCTCATAATGATGTTAGGAGACAGACTTACTGTTTGCATTTTCCTTTGGGAGTCCATACAAATGATCATGATGGAGATGGTGTCAGGAAGGCAAAAGGCAAGCAAAGGGGTTAAAAAATGGGGTTAATATTTTTAAAGGAAAATGGTCAAGGAAGGTAGGATGCATGACACTTGCTGTTTTTTATGCTTAAAACTGAGATTTACTCTGCAAGTTCCTCCTATTCTCGGTCACCTTGTTTAGGGTTCTTTGCCCTAATTCTAGTCCAACATATCCAAACTCTGAAGATAGTTCAGATAGACATCGTGCTGAACATATTTGGGACACTCAGTATGTAAATATTGATCAGCATATTGGCTGTAGATTGGAATCCTGGCAAATAGCAACCAGTAAAAACATAATAATAGATTAATGCAACAAGATCATTAGAGTGGCCCTTAGGAAATTGTTTGCTTGGCGTATCAGTGATTACAGAGAGGAATGAGAGCGGCCCCAGAATAGCTGTGAAAGGCTAATTCACAGAATGGTGTCACATTTCTCTGACTTCTGTGTTCATGGACTATATTCAATCAAATACTATAGCATATGCACATGCCAACAGTATTTCTGAGCCTGGCTCAGAGGCCTCCTGTGAGCATAGTGAATTCAGCTACCTGGTAGCCATCTTCTCTTAAATGACTTACAGACAGATGAAACCTAACAAGTCTGTGGTACAACTTACCATGTCCTAACCATTTTTCCTGCATTCTTTAGCTCCACAGCACCACTATCCACTCAGTTTTTCCAGTCAAAACTCTGGGAATTGTCTTTCATACCTCCTAACACTCACCTACCACATCCAGTCAATCACCAAGACTCACCTATTCTGTCAACTAAAATTGTCTCTTTAAAATCTGCCTACTTCTTCCTTCCCCTTCAGTTTTCTTAGAACACATGGCTGTTAGTCCATCATAACACGTCTTCCCATTCACTTGCCTGGTTTTGAACTTGACCTCTCCACCCCCACCCATGCATTCTCTACCCTGTGCTGGGTGGTCTTTCTAGGTTTCACAGCTAATCTGTCACTTCTCTGCTGACTGTCTTCTCACAGTTCCTTGCCATGTGGATGAATTCAGGCTGAGTATTTAGCTTGGACCATAAGTCCCTTCATGATTTTGTCCCCTTGGGCTCACCACTTCTAAATATTTCCTCTCCAGCCATGCTGAAATGTTGGCTTTTCCAGGAACATGCCATTTTCATGTTCATCTCTGGGCCTTAATTTGCATGTACTCTCACCATGGAACATTCATTCTCTGTCTCATTCTACCTTTCCAGGCGAAACCTCATTATCTTCAGGTTTCTACTTCAATATTAATTCCTCTAGGATAGCATTAGGTGTCCTTTCATTCTCTGGCACCTTGTACCTGCTCAATCCAGGCGATTGTTGACTTCTTTTTTTTTTTTTTTTTATTATTAAAAACATTTTTGAAGTTTTTATTTAAATTCTATTTAGTTAACATACAGTGTAAAAACATTCTTTTCAATGAGTACATTATGTTCTGTAACTAATTTTATGAGCTAGTACAGCAGCTTTATCCAATGGGTTTAATACTAAAGCATTAAAATACTTTAATGGTAGACATATTGGAAGCCTAATACCAGCCTTTACACTCCCATTCTGAGTTAAACTGGACTGATGAGTCTTTAGTAATTTTGTATTCAGGAATTTTTAACTGGCCCACTGTTTTCCAAATTTAAAAACTGAACAATACATAGTAAATAGAAGCTCAAAATAACAAGGAATTTTGCACAATGGTCTTTAATGTTTTTTCTTAAAAGATTAGAATAGAGAAGGAAATGCAAGGCATTTCGGTGTACTGACTGTAATGTAAAGTTTGCTTTATACATATAAACCAAAAGATAAAAAAAGACTGTGTGGCTACAGAGAAAACAATGTTAAAGGAAATGCAAAGGAAGGAAAATTTTCATAAGTCATACAGAGCATTAGCCTGATAGCTTGACTTCTCAGTTTCTCAGATGGACTAAACCAGAATGACTGTTTTGTTTAGATTGGTTGTAAAACTAGGCAAAAGAAATCTGACACTTTTAGAATCTATCGCAAAAATTCAAATATGAGGGGCGCCTGGGTGGCTCAGTCGGTTAAGCGTCTGACTAGCCCAGGTTATGATCTCACAGTCTGTGGGTTTGAGCCCTGCGTCGGGCTCTGTGTTGACAGCTAGCTCAGAGCCTGGAGCCTGCTTCAGATGCTGTGTCTCCCTCTCTCTGATCCTCTCCTGCTCATGCGGTCTCTCTCTCAGAAATTAAAAAAATCAAATATGGAAGAAAAAAGAAACCTTTAAGTATTTGGATATGTAGAAAGGGAAGTGTCTTAAATAAAACAAGCTTTATGTTGGTGAAATGGCTATTCTAAGCTGCTGCTTTATGGTGTTGACTAATCCAGTTGTTTTCTGAGGAAAGAAGTTAGGAGCTACAAATGCAACAGTTGTAAAAAAACCACTCTAGTCTGCCCTAATATTGTAATCTAGTAACTCATACGTTTAAATGCCCAGTTTAAAAGGATTTTTAAAAGATGTGCATTGGGGTGTGGCCTGATTAATAAAAATACCAGTAAGCAAAATTAAAAATGACCTAATACTTACTCCAGGCATAATTAATTTAACTTAAGGTCTATGATTTAAGGACAAAGCTCTTATGTACCTAGAATATTCAGTCCAGAAATATGGAGGTTGTTATCTTGAGCTGAGATTAAAGTCTTCAGCATATTACTGCTCACTTGCCTCTACATATGGCAACTGGTAGAAGTATATCAAAATACATATGGCAACTGGTAAAAGATGTAACAAAAATCTTAGAATTATCTTTGTATAATATTAACTTTTACAAATTTATCTGGAATCTACTTGTTCCTCTCATTATTGCTCTTCTAGAAACCTGGGCAGTCTCCTTAGGTGGTTTCAGGAATCTTTTCAACATAATTATTTTTCAAGAAAAGGACATTTTGGTTTGAGCACTAAGACACATATGGTTCCACCATATTCATTAATTGCTCTTGAAGTTTTTGGTTATTGGCTGAAGGTAGAAGATATCTACAATGGTTTGAGGAGAGTTGTTATCTTCAGAAGTCTTTCTGCAAATCACTCTTCTTGAGAAGTTCTCCTTTTCGAGATTTATCCAGGTTTTCAAGAAACTGTTCAAAAACTTTTATATAAGGAGCTAGACTGGTCTTCTTATAATCTCTGGTTCTATGTTTGATATCAGATTCAGCTTCGTTTTTCTCCTTTCCCTCATTAGTGGAAATGGTATCCAATTCACGGCAGATGGAGCTTATGGTTGGAACAGTAAATGGATCAAACTGATCCCACTTTTTGTAAATCAATAGGCACAGAAATGCGACCTGTTTTAGGATGAACACTAAAAGGGCTCTTCAGCAAATGATTGATTCCTTTGCTAACATTGATATCCAGCCGTGGAAAACAGTACTGGAGCATGATCTCCCACTCAAGCCAGGGTCCACATTTGTCGTTTTTTGTATTATCCTGAGAGCTGATGGCTTTCTTCAAATACTCCCAACGCTGAAGTGAATTGTGATACCTGTGGAAGTTTTGCTGAAGTTTCTCATGAATTGTTTCAGGAACAAGGGGTAAGATCTTATCCCAGCTTTCTTTATTTTCAAGAATATCTTGATCAACTAGAGCATAGTCTTCAAAGTATTTTTTTATTATGTTTATAGATTTTCTGACAAAAGGGTGAATTTTTTCACTTAGGTGGACTTTCTTTTTAACGTCTTGACCACCCTTTACAAGACTCAAGTACTCAACTATCCCAGAACGTACTGCAGAGGACAATTTTCTAACTGATTCATCACAAACCCAACAATGAACACCTCTCCTTCCAGAATATACCCAGAGACGATGCTTAAATCCAAAGTCCTCCTTCAGTGCTCGGTCGATTATGTGTATGGCCATCGTCATGAGGGTCCAGCACTTAGAACATATATCTGCAGAACTACAACATCTCCTCACATCGTCATAGTCTGTCATGTCAACGTCAAACACCAATTCTTTTTCCTGAGCCTGGAAAGCTCCCAGCTTCACTGTATTGTGTTGATTGGGTCTGTGAGAGTATACTGCGCCTATATCAATCTTGTATGGATTCATTTTCTGCATCTCCTTTTCCAGATCACTCTGGTTGTTGAAGGATTGGTAGCGAATGTAAATATCATCTTTCAGTGTGAATGAAAATTCACGGTGTTGAAAGTAATTCTTTGTCACTCCTCCATAGTTGAGCCAGCGATAGTATTGAGCGTAGGGGAAAAGCCTCCGGTAATAAAGGTTAAGCAGCTCCGGCAGCTCGGCGGGTTTAAAAGTCTCCATGGAGCGCGGGACTCACGGTCCTCAGGACTACAAGAATTGGCGGGAATCACCTGTTGACTTCTTGAAATAGCTTATTTACTTGTCAACTTTTCTCTGCAGACTGTAAACTGGTTAAAGGTGGAAATGTTCTATCTTGTATTCATGTTATCACCAACATAACGCATGGCAGAGTAACTGACTCAAAAATAATTATTGAATAAATGAGTAAATGCATGAAAAGTTAATCAAAGATACAGGAAACATGTTCCTGCTGCCATTTTATTCTAAGGTGGCGGTATACTACATTCAAACCCACACTATCACAATTTAAAAATATGTACTTATTCAAATATATCTTGGAAGAAACAGATAATCTAGCAAAAGTTTGATGCTAATGGGGGACATTGAAATAAATATCACATTCCAGGAAAGTCATGTTTCCCTTATATACAAAGATAATATCACTGACCCCATATCATTCACTTAGTCTTTCCACAGGCACTTATTATTTTCAGCAAAAATCCAAAAACCATAAAATTTGAGTTTTGGGGGGTGCCCTGCTGACTCAGTCTACAGAGCACGTGACTCTTGATCTAATGAGTTCAAGCCCCATGTTAGACGCAGATTACTTAAATAAATAGGCAGATAGATAGTAGATAGAGAGATGGATGAATGAATGAGTGAATGAATGAATGAATCAATGAATAAAATTTGAAATCTTTCTCTGTTTTGGGGGATGCAATGCTGATGTATGCATATGGTTATTTCTTTTTTAGTGTCCAATGTTTATAGTTCTGTAGGTTGGAGGAGAAGGTAGCTATAATGTAGGATAACAGGTATTAGATTTGCAGTCAAATACCTGGGCTTTATCTCTTACTAGCTGAAGGACATCCTGTCAATTCTATCACCAAAAACATCTTTAAATCCTTCTACCTCTCTCATCTCTCCATCATTAGCCAAGTCCAGGCTACCATGATTTATGACTTAGTCTCCTCTTGTTCCCAGTTTTGCCATCCCTCAACACATTCTCCATCCTTCAAATGACCAGGGTGGTCTTCCCCCTTCCCCCTCTCCATCTAATGCCACATGTCCTCTGCTCTCCTTTTTCTTTTCTTAAAAAAAATTTTTTTTTAACTCCAGCTACAGTGGCATTTTTGGAGGTCTTCATATGAGCAGTGCCCAGAGTCACTGATACCTCCTGCTGCTTGTCAGCAGAACCAGCTCCTTGTTATGTGGTCCACTGTCTTCCTCCAGGCAGGGCATGGCACTCCCCTTGCTCTCTGCAGCAACCCTGAGCTTTGGGAAGATGCTGAATTATAGAGTGTAGAGCTCCAAAGGCAGACAGACCCGGCTTTAATGTCAAAATACATGATTATTTAATAGAAATTATAAAAATAAGGGGAACAAAACTATCACTATTTATTGTTAGCATAGACACTATACTAAATTAATTTTCATGTATCACCTCTTTTAGACTTCAAGCCATCCATTCCATATATTAGTCCCTCTTTTACACATAGAAAATTAATAAGCAAAGAGGATAAGTATCATTCTCAAGTCATCCAGTGAACTAGGAGAAGTAAGGATTGAAACCCAAATCTGATGATTTTGGAGCCAGAACTTAACTTCCGTGATGTACATCCACATTGCACACAGGGGGTATGATGTAATAACTACTGTGGTGCCTCACACATGTTAACTGTATACAATAAATAATTGTACTTGCTTTTCCTATTTTATAGGAGGAACCAACTCTACTTCCTCTGTGTCTAATCACATTCTTCCTATTCTTCAGTATTAGGCTCAGGCATAGCTTTTCTGACGCTCTGGTGTCACTCTGAGTCATTATGTTACTGTATCCACCATTCATTTTGGTATTTTTTTCACTTGCTGTGCTGGATCACAAGTTCCTGGAGAACATTGGTTGCTTTTTGCATTTTTCTGTCTTTCTTCTCAACAACTTGCATGGTGCAATGCAATTGTAGGCCACTTAATAAATGATTGCTGAATGAATGCATTAAACCTCATAAGGATCAATCTTCTGACCTTGAACTCATTAGTACTATGCTCTAAAGAACTGAGCTAACTCAAGTTAAACTAAGCATAATTAAAATAGAATTTTTTTTTACAGAAAGGAGAGCTTTGTGAGCCCAATCATTGGTTAGTTCAATGTTTCTTAACTGAGGGAGATCCCCCGCCCCCATGCCAGGAGGTATTTGGCAATGTCTGCTTCTAAATTACATCCTACAATGCATAGGACATTCCCATAAAAAGAATCATCCAGCCTCGATGTCAATAGTGCCAAGATTGAGGAAGCCTGGATTAGACAAGGCTATCAAAAGAGATTTTAAAATTTACATAGAATTTATCAAACAATTTATAAATATGTACTATGCATCTGTGCCATACGTGATTTTACATACTGTTTAAATGATTGAAGAATAGGACAAAATCTCTATTGGTAACTACTTTTTAATTCAAAATTTCAAAGATACTGGAGAAACTCCTGTATGGTTAAACATAACTAATTCAAAAGAACTAGAGAGAAATTCATCCCTCACTCTGTAATTTATAGGAGCAGCCAGGTTTATTATTTACCATAAGATACAATAATTCAAGGTGGCAACTAAGAAAGTGAGCTCATGAAAACATTCTGAAATTGGCTTTTTTTGAATTGATAAGAATTACATGCATTTGACATGTGTTTATGTTCAGAAGGAGAGAGATGATAAGAGATTGTTAAGATATTTTGATCATTGTTTATAATAATCTTAACATTTCTCTCACTTTTGCTATCTCAACAAATTGTAACCTATGTATCAAGTAGTATGAATTCCAGTTAGTAGCATCCAAATGAACAAATATTTGATAACAAGATTAAAATCATATAATTCTTATATTGAAATTGTTTCAAACACACACACACACATATGCCCAGACAATCATACCACCAGCCCTTTGTATAGAAACTAGGGTCACGCGTAAAGTAAAACATGGCTCTAAGCACAGGATTACAAAATCAGAGCTTTTATTTAAAGTATAATTTATGTACCTGCAAGTAAAGAGTTTTCATATAAATCATCCTAATATATTTTAATAGATTTTATTTTTTAGTGCAGTTTTATGTTCATAGCAAAATTCAGTAGACGGTACATAGAGTTCTCATATACCTCCTGTCCCCCACCGTGCCCATTTATCAGTGTCCCCACCAGAGAATTGAATTTGTGATAGTTGATGAATCTACACTGATACATAATTATCATCCAAAATTCATAGTTTACATTAGGGTTCATTCCTGATGTACATTGTGTGGGTTTTGACAAACATGTAAGAGATATATCCATGAAAACAGAATCATGCAGGGTAGTTTTGCTGCCCTAAAACCGTTATCATATTAAAATAAAAGTGAGAATAGGGGCACCTGGGTGGCTCAGTCAGTTATGTGTCCAACTCTTAGTATCAGCTCAGGTCATGACCTCACGATTCTTGAAACTGAGCCCCACATTGGGCTCTGTGCTGGCAGCATGGAGCCTGCTTGGGATTCTTTGTCTTCACTCTCTCTGCCCCTCCCCTGTTCGAGCTCTCTGTCTTTCTAAAATAAATACATAAGCAATAAAAATGAAATAAAATAAAGGTCAGAAAAATTAAGGCTTGTAAGTTTCTTTAATACTGCAAACCTAGCTTTCAGGCTAAAGAAAAGCCCATCCTTCCTAGGATATTTACCCCCAGTGATCCCATTTCCAGAGGACAACGGGCAGTTCCCACTTAGACTCTTTCATTCATTTATCCCTCTTTAACCACATTATCCCTCAGAGAGTGTAGGACATCATACCATAAACATGTCCATCCTGAAGGATGGGAAACACGAAACTTCTGCCAGAGCTGAGAAGACTGGTTACAAAAGAAACATCTTAGAAGAATCCTTCAAGCCCAGGGAAAACTTGACGAAATTAAAATGTTCAAACTTGCAGGCAAGCCAGATTAATTTGTAAGAAGAGATTTGTATCCTTCTTAGAGACCCTGCTTCGAAAAGATATGATGGGGGCAGTTTGGATAAAAAGTGGAGTTAGGGGCACCTGGGTGGCTCAGTTGGTTGAGCATCTGACTCTTGAGTTTGGCTCTGGTCATGATTTCGAGGTTCGTGGAATCGAGCTCTGGGTCAGTTTCTGTGCTATTAGCTTGGGATTCTCTCTCTCCCCAACTCTCTCTCTGCTCTTCCCCCTGCTTATACTCTCTCTCTCTCTCAAAATAAATAAACATTTTTTAAAAAGTGGAATAAAGCACATGCATGAATATCACAGCCCATCATTCCTGTGGTCAAGAAGAGGGGCTGGGGTTGGAAAATAGCAACGGATGTGTCAGGCCTGATGGCTGATGGATGACTGTGTTCAAAGAATTCAACCGCTTCATTACAAGTGGCATTTCCTGGTAGCTTTGTGTCAAATATCTGAGACTTTACGAAGTGAGACTAATTCAACAGCATTAATAGTATTAATATCAACAGCATATTTGCAATGTTATAATAATTTTTTCAACTCACTGTTAGGAGAGGCATCTGGTGCAGTTGAATAAATTCTGGATTAATTGTAGGGGTCAGACACTTGTGTTCTTTTAGCCCTGCCATTGACTAACTGTGTAGCCTTGAACATGTCGTATAACTTCTGTGAGCATAGTTTTGACATGATAAAATGGGAATCAGAATGCTCACTCAGTTCTGAATTTTATTGACTGAGAGAATGTTGGCTAAAATCTTAGGAACAAGAAAAGCAAGAAGAGTTTGTGATGAGGGATTGACAGGAAAACAAAGATGAACTTGATGTTGGCAGTGACATCTATTTGACTTGGAGGATTAATCCAAGCTGAGTTTCATTTCCTCATTCAATACAATTTTGAAACTTAATTAGATACACTGCCCTTATTATGAAGGAATGGGGTGTGAGACATTTGCTGGCAAGAGAATGAGTGCTAGACCTCAAGAGAGGGTCTGATGAAGGAACTAAACTATGTACGACACATGTGGA